AGAAAGTAGCACTACCCAAGACTATTAGAGAGCAATGGGGGCCTGGAACATCACAAGACAAAAAGCATAAAGAGGGATTTGGGCAGAGTTAAAGGAGGATGTGGTTCCATGTACAGTGTGAGACTGACTTCTTCACAGCATGTAAGCTTTGATTGAAGGTTATTTATAGTCTTGGAAGCAAAGCAAAGGTCTGAGTTAATACAGAGTTATTTCTGTATCTTAAGGAAAACTTCTCTCTTTGAAGCATGCAAAAGCAAGACATAATAGCACAGCCAGCAATCACTAGATTAGGAACATAGATGGGAGGTAAAAATCTGAGAATGAGTAGAGAGGTGGTGAGGATCTCGGGGAAAAGGGAAAAAAAAAAAAAAAAGAGGTTTCTTGGATAATACAGATGTAGTTGAGCTCCAGAAGTGGTCTCAGATTAGGGTTTACCCCTAGCAGAAGCTGTGGAGCTTCCGTGCTGATGCCCTTGTACCTGCTTGTCAAGTATGTATCAGCCTAGCACAGCTTTCGCAGCGTTTAAAGAAGCAGCTGGGCATATGCCTGCTCACTTGTGGTGGCCCCAGCTAAAGCTCAACATGAAAGCAGTGATGGGCGACTGATTGCTTTCTGTGAGCTTATTCTGCCAGGCCATATTTGCATGTGCCCCCTTTTGAGGGACAAGGTCCCAGATAAACTGGGAATTGCTCCTTCTCGAGAAACAGGTGATTATGGACAGCAACAAGTTCAGGTTCTCTCTTATGACTTAACCAAAATAAGGTGATGGCAGGATCAAAGTCCTTTTCCTCTCAGCTGGGTTTTTAATGGCTTTATTGGTTTTCCTTTGGTACAATCTCTAGACCCTGGTGATAGCACTGTTGATATTGGGCTGCTGGCTGGAAAAGCTGGCCTTGCCACAGGCTCTGAGGACTGTTTGGGTGTCTATCATATACGATTCACCTCCTAGTTCTCAGGGCTTCTCAGCTGATGCAATCACAGCTCTTCTGGTCTGGAACAGTCTTCATGACCAAGAGCTTCTCAGTTCCCAGCTACCCTGCTGTGCTGCTGCTTTTCCTGCTGCTCAGAGCTTTTAGGGGGTGCCATAGAAAATGCATCCAAGCATTATACTGCCCCTTCGACCCTCGGCAGCATCACTATTTTCTCCTTAGATGAGCTGGTTTCACACCTCTCCTGTGAGACACTTCCCTAATTCAAAGCCTTTTGGCCATTACTCAGTTCAAGATACTAATTGTGCTGGTGATGAAAAACAAGGAAATTTGGCAGTGCCAGCTGAAGCTAGTGTTAGTCTGTGCTTCTAGTGAGACAATTTAGTGTGAGACATACATGAGTATTAAGTTATCACAGTGATAAGCACGGATAGATTTCTTGTGTTGGGCTTAGGTTAAGATAGCACGTGCACAAGGTGGAAAGACCTTGTTGAATTTATAGGCAGTTCTTATTACGGGGAGAGATAGCAATAATTTAGAGATTTAAAAAATGAATGTAAGCTTCTCAAATGAAACCTTATGCATGAACTATTTGCTTCCTGTTTTTGACTCCTACGTTGTGTTATCATGTGTAAATCCCTGGGTGTCCACCAGCCAGATCTGGTGGCGGGTTTCCTGAAAGCTGCTGAATGGGCCCTGTTTGAAGGGCTTGAGGGTGCTCGGCTAAAGCCTTCAGATGCAAGTCCTGCTGACTGGGGAGGTGAGAGAGCTGCCCGGCAGGTCTGTGGCACACTGCCTTTTGGGACAGCCTGTGCAGAACATCACATAACATGTCATCTTTGTCAAAGCACGTGTAATACAGGGTGCTGATCTGAAAGTTAAATATTCAAGAATAATTTTGAGGCTGCCCTGTGATCACCAGAGTGATTAAAAATGCTATTGAGAAGCCTGTATGATTAGGAAATTAGTACCATATGAACTTTGATCTCCTTCATTGGTGTATACAGACACACGTGCACACGCAGAGGCAATCACTCTGAGAACTGCTTTCATGGCTAGCAGATTTGATTTTTGGAAATGACTCACAGAACACCTCTTCCTTTTTTTTTTCTTTGCTTTTTTTTTTTTTTTGGTTCTTTCTTTCAGTTCCTCATAGGGATGGTCCCTGGGTTTCTATAGTCACTATCACCTCTAAAACTAGGGCCAAAAAGGCAATATTAAACTTGCATTCCTATCGCTAACCATGTGCTTTCATTTGGTCCATGTGATTTTCATAAGACCTGACAGCATTAATGAAAATCCCTCACATGTGAAGCTTAGGATTTCTAATAATACTTCAGTTCTATGCTTTTCGTGTAAAGAATGCATAGAACACAGATATGGTGTATCTGTGAACCACAGACTCATCTCCAGACTCAAATTTACCTCAGTCCCAAACAAACTTATCATTGTACATCTTAATGTCAGTAACTCTTCAGATGAGAATCCCGTGGCTTTAATCAGGAGCAAAAGGAAATGTCCTCCATATAAAGGGGCAACTATATGCCATTTGAAAGTAACTGAAACATTACTGCATTGCCTCTTCTTTTGTTTCACCAGAAAAAAGAAAGGAAACATCGGGGTGAACATCTGACCTGGGATAGTGTTGTAACATCCCCGAGGCTCCTTGGGAAGTCATGATTAAGGATGGCTCCTCTCACTATGCTGATTCCCGTCAATAATGGGATCACGGCCACATTATTTTCGGTACAAGATCAAACCGAGTAAGTATAAAGATCACAGGCAACCTCAGTTAATTGCAGGTGTCCTAATCAGAGACCAACCTTGAGGGCAGCCTCTTGGGAGCCCATGGCTCTGATCTATCTTAGCAGTGAAGAAGTTATGAAGCAGTGAAGAAGTAACACACTTACGCCAAGAGGATACTGAAAGAGTATCTTTCACTTTCCAGTGTTCATATCTTTTTATTCCCAGTTGAAATCTTAATACAGAAGATCACACAATCTGCTCTGCAGCGTTTATTAAACACAGAGCAATGGGATGGAAAGACAAGGGGATGCTTCCCCCAACAGAAAAAAAATATAGATTGTCACTTTGAGTAGAAGAGGAGGCTTAATGAAGCCTCAACTCTAATGAAGAGAGGTGTTGAAACGCCATAAGAAGAATTAGCTCTGAGGCATGCTGATAGCAGATAAGGTAAGCACTCATGTCTAACTATGCATCTCTACTGACATATAGCCAGACACCAACTTCAGTGGACCTTCAAGGGGGAAAAAAAAAGCCCACTATAAATAATATGATCCAATAAACCTCAATCACAAAGCTTACCTTGTGATATAGTGTTACATAAGTAAGAATGTCCTATTATGTATCAAATTTGTCATTTGGACTTCATTTAGACTGGAAATTTTTCAGGTCAAGGATGGCTTTCACTTGGGTTCTGAAACTGAGAGGTTTCCAACACGGCCTTGGAGGGAAAAAATGGTGTGTAAACTGACTTGTCCTCTTCCTGACTACCTGCTAAGGGGCAGGCAAGAGCTATATGAGTTACTCAACCTTTCTCAGCAGGTAGAACTGGAATGAAGGAGACTGGCATACATCCTAGTGTCATTCTTCTAACATGGAGCTTTCCTGCTTTTCTGCCTTCTCTAGATCAAGAGGTCAAAGCTCTCTTGGATGCAATCTGCCCTGTTAGCTGGAATGATTAAGACATGCCAGTTTCTGTAGCTATTTCTTGTAAACCAGCAAAGAGGCAAAAAATGGTTTCTCTTGGATTTCCACTCAAGTAACCAAACTCCTTCCAACTGCAGCATTGGTCACAGTGTCACTCGTGAGCCCTTTCACACCTGGGTGCCAACTGGAACACCCTGGCCCTGCTACCACATCTCACTGTACCAGTAATAACTGACAGAAGTAAGGAGAAAAGAAGAAAAAAAAGAGGAAGATTTAAGGCGAAAGGGAAAAGAGAGAGGATTAATGATATTTTATTTGCAAAGATTTTCTTTTGCAGGCTAGGATTTCTTTGTTATTTCTTATTTATAATTATGACATTGCTAGAATTGTGCTAGACGAAGTGCAGCACTGCATGTACTGGAGTTCGGAGACAGAAATCCAGAGGAGACTCACAGAAAGGGTTTTCCATTGTCATTCAAGTGCTGCGCTGAAAAGAAGGATCAGAGGAGTTAATTCTCCCTTGTGTCTACACGCGCTCGCTGCCATGCACAGCAGCGCTGAGCACCCTGAAGGAATACGATGCCCGTGCTGCTCTGGGAAATTTTTGGAATTATTCTTGGGGCAGAGCAGTAATTAATGAACGTAATATCAAATTCCTGTTAGAAAAGATCTGCTTTGGGACAGTCTGGGCCGAGCTGCGAGCTGAGAAACAGATCGGGTCGCTCCTTTACCCTAAACACCTCCACGTGCTTCTAGCGCTGCAAGTGCATCAAGGGCAGGACAAAGCGCCCCGTTTGCTTGGCTTCCCCACCCAAGTGCCCCGTTAAAAATACATAACCCGGGGGCGGCCGGTGCCCGCCCCAACGGCCGCGCGCGGCCCGCGCCCTCCGCCGCGGCGGGAAGCGCCGCCCCGGGGCAGCCCCAGCGCGCTCCGTTAATCCCCGCGCGCGCCGGGCCGTTGCCGCGGGCCGGAGGCAGCCACCAAGGAGTTACCGGGGAGGAGGCACCGGGGGAACTTGGCTCCGCCGCCAGCCCGGGCGCCCCGTCCCTGGACGGGCTCTCCGCGGTGCCGGGGCGGTTGCTGCGGGCGCTGCCCCGCGTCCCGCCGCCTCCCGGGCAGAGCCGCTTCCTCCGCCGCCGGCCATGGCGCGTGCGGGGCGCGGGGCTCGGCCCGGCCCCTGAGAGCGCCGCGCTCCCTCCCCTTCCTCCCTCCTCCTCCTCCTCCTCCTGCTGCTGCCGCCGCCTGCCTCGCTGCTGCCACCGAGCCGAGCCGAGGCGCCCGTTCGTGCCGCGCTCCCGGCCATGGAGCGGCTCGCGTGGGGCCGCCACGAGTGAGCGCCGCGTCGCGTCGCGCCGAGCCGCCCGCTCCGCATGGGGCTGCCCGCGGCGCCCACGAGCATGCTGCAAACGCTGAGGAAAGTTCGCAAGCGGCGGGAGATGCTGCTGCAGCAGCTCGGCTTCATCTGCGCCATCCTCTTCTTCGCGTGGTGCATGTCCAGCCTGCTCTCCCGGCTCGGTGAGTGGCCGCGGGCGGGCGGAGGAGGGAGCCGTGGGCAGGCGCCGCTCCCGTTTGGAGTTTCCCCTGGAAACAGGCGGGGAGCAGCCGGGCAGGTGCGAGCCCGCGCCGGGCGCGAGGGCAGCGCGGGGCGTTTGCGCCGCCCGCGGCCCCGCGCTGCCGTTCGCCTGAACCCGCGGTGGGGGAGCCCCCTCGGCAGCGACAACCGCGCGCTTTGCTCATCCCCTCCTCCGAAACGTGGCGTTTGGGGCAGGGAGCGGGGCCCGTCTCGCGCTGTACGCGGCTTGTTGCATCGCTGGTGCAGGCGCCGTGTTTGTAACGTGCTGCGGTTACGAGCAGCCGCATCCGCGCAGCTCCTTTCCCGCCCCGCGCATCCCCCATCCCGCGTGTGCGGAACCGGGGGCCGCAGGTGCCGCCGCGCTCCAGGTAGCAGAGCCCCCGGTGCTCACCCCGGGCTGAGCGCGAATCCCGGGGCGAGAACAACCCCCGGGGCGAGAACAGCGGCTTTCGGCGCCCTTCGCAGGGCTCTGCCCCTCCTCGCCTGCAAGCGGGGGTTAAGAGGGCTCTTTGGAGGGGTATCTCGTGCAGCCGGCGCCGGCTGCAGCTCCGGCGCTCACGTTCCGACTGCTGGTGTTTGAGACAAATCTAGGATGGCAACAAGCCCTCCGCGGAAGAGTTTAGTATCATCCTCCGCTTCAGCATTTTGCTCTCCCCGGAACTTTGAAACTTTTTTTTTTTCCTCACTTGTGGTTTAGATTGTATTTATTTATTTATTTCATCCAGAACCATTTATTGTGTGTGTGCGTTTTTTTTCTTTTTTCTTTTTCTTTTTCCCCTTGCACTAGCTAGATATTTTCAAAAACTTCTTGGTTTGTGAAAAGAACTAATTTGGGGGGTGATTGTGTGTATGTGGTTTGAGGTTTCTTTGCTGCTGCAGTGAACGACTTTGCAGAATTTTGGGGGTTTGCATGAGAAATGCCATGACTAATGAAAGTTATCTTTTTTTAATCCCCGGGGTTATCAGCTAAATCCCCCATAACCTAATTTTTGGTGGTATGCTGCATCAGGTAGTGTTTTTTTTTTTTTTTTTTTTTTTT